GAGAATTTGTCACCTTTATTAACTGGAACTTGACCATTATTACAACTTTCCATATGAAATCTCTCCAATACTCTGTCAATATATCCTTTTTGAGATAAGTCAAGAAGCCCCCTTTGTCTATCTCTAACAATCTCTATTCCCAATACATAATGTGCTTCACCAAGGTCTTTCATCTCAAAGTTATCACTCAGAATTCTCTTAGCACTTTGAAGCAATTGAGGACATGAACTAGCAAGAAGAATGTCATCAACCTAAAGAACTAAGAATATGAATTTAGAACCTAAAAACTTAATGTATATGCAATCATCCAGCTTATTTTCTACAAAACCTTGTGCAGAGACAATTTGATCAAATTTCAAGTACCATTGCCTTGATGCCTATTTTAAGCCATATATTGACTTATTGAGCTTGCATACCATATTCTCATTCCCCCTTTCAACAAATCTAACAGGTTGCTTCATATAGATATCTTCTTGTAGGTCTCCATTAAGAAAAGTTTTTACATCCATTTGATGTAACTCAAGATCAAAATAGGTAGCTAAAGACATTATAACTCGCATAGAATCTTTAGAAGAAACTGGAGATAAAGTGTCATTGTAGTCGATTCCCTCTCTCTGAGTAAACCCTTTAGCAACCTATTGGCCTAATTTTAGAGTTTGATTCCACCAATGTCCAAACTTGATTCTTGAACATTGAATCTAACTCACCATTCGTAGCATTGTTCCATAGAACTGATTGAGACCTTTCAATTGCCTGAGTGTATGTGAGAGGGTCATCAATGTCACCTATATCAAACTCACTCTCTTGTAAGTACACATAATCACTGATTGCAGTAGATTTTTGAGCTCTTGTAGATTTTCTGATTTCAGCTTGAGGTGGAACTGATGCTTGTGATTCTCCAAAGGAAGTCAATGTTGCAGGCTATGTTAATTGATCAACCTCCATAATGTTGTCAACTTGAATCCCTAAATCTTCACTCATATCCTCTATGGCAGGTGACAATGGATGAGAAAACAATGGAACTTGAGTGCAATCCATTGCTACATGGTCATCACCATCTTGATGTATCTCTTCAAATATAAAAGTTTTCCTTGACAAAAGTGAGACATCTTGATCTTCTAAAAAAAACTGCATTATGTGTTTCTTAGATCCAAGTGTGACCTTAAAGGACATAAAACCTGTATCCTTTTGATTTCTCAGGATAACCAATGAAATAACATGACTGAGTCCTTGAATCCAGTTTTCTTTCATTAGGATTATAGAACCTAGCTTCTGCTTTACAACCCCAAACATGGAAATAAGTAAAACTAAGAACTCTTCCATGCCATAACTCATAAGGTGTTGAAGATGTTGCCTTGCTTGGAACTCGGTTCAATATATAATTGGCTGTTTTCAAAGCTTTTACCCACAAGAATCCTGGCAATTTTGATCTTGACATCATGCTTCTAACCATACCAATGAGAGTTCGGTTTCTTCTTTCAGAAACACCATTCTGTTGAGGTGTTCTAGGTGTGGTGTATTGTGCCACAATGCCATTCTTCTCGAGATAGAGAGCAAATGGACCATTTTGCTACCCAGGTTCAGTGTACCTGTCAAAGTATTCACCTCCCCTATCTGATCTAACAACTTTTATGACCTTCCCTAACTGTTTTTCAACTTATGTTTTATAAATGACAAAACAATTAAGTGCATCTAATTTCTTAGTAATAAGCAAAGTATAACCGAGCCTAGAAAAGTCATCAATGAAGTTGACAAAATACCTATTGCCACAAATTGTTTTGACTGGGAAGGGACCACAAATATCAGTGTGTATGATTTCTAATAACCCTTTACTCCTCTTAGCATCCATTTTTCTAAAATTAGTCATTTTGCCCTTCAAACAATCAACACGCTCATTTGCTGATGTAAAATCTAATTTTGGAATCAATTCTGCCTTTGAAATTTTGATTATTCTTTCTTTAGAGATGTGCCCTAGCCTCTTGTACCAGAGAATATAAGAAGTGTCAGTTTCTAGCATCCTTTTGGAACTAACATTCAAAATTGAGTGATTATTTGACTCTATTGAGCATTCTAGACTCCAAAAATTGTCTAATAGAAGGGCGGTACCTAAAACGGAATCTAGACAGTCATTTTTAAAGATTTTCAAACACTCATCATCATCAAAGAAGGCAAAACCATCTTTAACAATTTTGGAAGCATAAATTAAGTTTCTTCTCATCTTTGGCACATAGAGCACATCATTTAATTTTAAAACAAAACCAGAAGTTAATTTTAAATTTACAACCCCTATTGAATGAACTGCAACTCTAGTCCCTTCCCCTACAGAAACATTATATAAAGTATTTCCAATTTCCCTTTGTTTTTGAAAACCATTTAAAGAGTTAGGTATATGTACTGAACATCCAGTATCAAACCACCAAGAATCAACAGGTACTTCGCAAAGATTTAACCCAACACAGACAAGTACTTGTTCATTTTCTTTGCTCTTCACATAATCTTTGAAAATTTTACAGTTGACTTTTAAATGACCCTTAGTTTTACACCAAAAACATTTAAGCTTAGACACATCTTTAGGTTTAGCCTTAAACTTGATAGATTTTCTAGGGGAGTCCACTACTTTAGCAGAATTACTGAACTTATTAGTATTCTTAAATGGCTTAGAATTCTTACCGGAACCAAAAGAGCCTCTGTTGTTGAACAACTTCTTCTCATTTGCAGTCTACAAAAAGTTGATATCCTCAATGTCTTTGCCTTTTTCTTGTTTTTGACAAGCTTCTTCTTGCACATATTGTGCAATCAGCTGAGCAACATCTCAGTTTGTCTTGAGTGTTGTAGGAGATCTTCAACTGGCTATATTTGTTGGGAAGTGCTTAAAGAATCATGAATACTAGCTGCTTATCACCAATATTTATTTCCATTGCATTGAGTCTTTCTACAGCATCGGTCATCTTCATTATGTGATCTCTTATAGAGCCAGTACCCTCCATCTTGTAAGTAGTCAATAAAGACATGTACTGACTCACTTCGGCTTTTTCAGATTCTTGAAATTTCTTTTCTATGGCATTCAGATAGTCAGCAGCCAAATCATGTTTTTTAATTCCTCCTCGAATTGTATCAGTCATGCCACTCTCTAGAATGGAAAATGCCACCTTATTGGCTCTTGTCCATCTCTCATAATCTACCTTTTCAGCTCTAGTGCTCTGATCATTGATGACAGGCTTGCGGTTGTCAATTGCTATATCAAACTCATTCAGTGTCAACAGCAAACTTATATCCCTTCTCCACTTCTTGTAATTACAGCCACCAATGAGGATTGGGATGTTGGCCAAATTAAAGGTCTTCATTGATATTGCAGACACTGAAGAATACAATGAAATTACCATACGAACACTTAGGATCCTAATTTCTATTCTCGGTCTATTGCACATCATATCATTAAAATCAATTATCCATATACATAACCATAAAAACCAAAGGTGATAAGTATATATTGAATAAGAGATCTCTTCAGAATGCTTATTTAGCCTAGGACAATCATTCCATCCAAATAAAAGGAATTTCTCTCATACAAAATAAACTCAGCATATCAATTTTAATCTTGCAATAATTCAAAATTTTCTGAAGAAGATCTAAGCCTTAGATGGTTTTCTTCCACAGATGATTAAATAGTGAATGAAAACACAAAATTTCAATCACAACAAGAACCATATTAGCTTATGTTATTAAAATCATGTCGAGAAAAGAATCTATGCAACACAAGTATAATCTGAAGAACAACTGGATTTTCAATTTCTGAATCGAGTTTCAAAGGACATACCATGGAAAAGAGCATCAACATCCAGTAGCGAAAGCATTTATTACAGATATCATAAAACTCAGGCATGGTTTGAACCATCATGAAGCACTTGGATTATCAAAGTCGAAATCTAGAAAAGAAAAGGTAAAAACGAAAGGTGTTTATCCTAGCCCAGAAAACCCCAAATTGGATAGGTTTCGGTCAAAAAATCAAACAATTACATTTAATTAAAACGCACCATTTTCACTATGACCAACTTTAAGTCCAAAACCAGTTTCGAAACCTGAAGAAGGAAAAAACTTTTTTTTTTTTTGGATTCTATCGATTTTGTTGATTGAATTTAAGAACATGAACCTAAGGCTCTGATACCACATGTTCACCTTCTCATGAAAGATTCAGTTACTCAAACTACAAACAAACAAAACACAAAACATTAATCCATATAAGACCAAAGTATGATAACCTGAAGAATTTCCATTGAATGCTACCATGATCGATCTCGTCCAATCTGAAAGCACATCAGTTCTTCTTCTCTCTGTCAGGATACTTATTGCTCAAACCAAGAATAAGACTCAGTTCCAAAAGAGCGTGTACCTGTGAGCGAAGAGATTGCCATATCTATAGATATATACACACACATATCCTTCTCATATTAGAATGTGGATTCCCTATTAGAATCCTTATGGAAAACAACTTATGTCTTCCCAATTCATATCAGTTTACTACTGCAATAAAATCCTCTATTGACAAGAACTGATATTCATCTTCCCATAAGGCTTTCTTATTCCTATTGGTCTTAAATAGCTAATGTCCGATCATCTTATCTGATGTTCATATTCTTACAGCTTACTCTTAACACAATAATAATTTGATATCGAGCACGCCATTAACACAAACAGTTCTAGCTTCACATTTATTTTCCCTTTTAAAGTAAAGAAGAGAATCGCAGATAGATAAAATGAGAACGTTAAAATTTGAAAATCGTCAATATTCTGTATTTATGCGGATCGAGGAGGAGAAGAATTCTGAAGCTTTACCATAGCATTCAGAAATTTTTTAACGGAAAACGATGACATATTTATTGATAACAGAGTTTACAAACAATAAAGAGTAAACAAATAAAAAAAACCGATAACATATTTATGTGAGACAGATTACAGATCAGAAATCACACAATATTACACAAAAGGAACTAATTAAATACCGAAATGTCCAGAAAGACAATAATTATCTTATTCAATTCATGATTAGACAAAAAGATTTCATCCCAATATTGTTTGGGAGTGGATTTCTCTCTTACATTTTCTACTATTCGATATCTAATTATCGATTCTAATTCTTGATATGCAGATATTGTAGCAAGTATCCAATTGGCCCTTCATGTTCTTTAAAATATGGTTCTTTTCAGCAACTGTCAAAATGTTAAAAGAAACATGCAATTAGATAAATAATACAAAAAAGAAAAAAGAAAGTGAACAAAAACCTAGAAATGAATTAAAAGAACGTACCAAAAGCAGCGGCAGGATAGGTGGGTATAGCCTCAATGCAGGAAAGTAAACACTTTTTTAGTGATTTTGAACCTTCATGAAAAATCCTGCAATTAGAAGGGCAGGCCTCAAAGCATGCCCTTCTAAGAATCACCTTGTCGTTGGTGCAGTTTTTCCGGCATCTTCTCAGACATGAGTGTTCTTTTCGAGGAGCATGATGAAAAGGTGGGGGAGGTGATGACTTGGGGAAGACAGGTAGAATGTCTTGAGAAGGTGGTGAGGTTACAGGGAGAGGGTTTCTAAGACGAGGTGGGATAACAGGAATAGGGTTTTGATGTTGTGGTGGGATTGCAGGACTAGGGTTTCGAAAGTTTTCGAAAGTTGTGAAGTCGGCATCAGTAAGTGAGTCATCGACAAAGTCCGGATCGACATATTGACCGATAACAACCCCAGCCATCACGAACATCGTAACCACAAACCCTATATTGCTTCCCTTCATCTCCATAGTTAATCTTATCTCAGTGTCTTTCAAAACCCACTACTGGAAATTTTTTGTATCGTTGAGATGTCGTTGCACACATAGCCCCTATTTTATAGGATTGGAAGCACATTAATGCATTAGATTGAGCCCATAATTTATACACTAATTAAGGAAACCGATTAATGTCGATGCCTAATAGCTGATTGTGGACAAATTATAGGGTGTGATTGATTGTTAATTGACACCATTATGTTGATTGTCAGTTCCTTCATTTACCTTCGAGAGTTACCTCAATCAAACGATTAATGCATTTTGTGGCTTAATCAAAGGAATTATTAAAGCATTATGTGGCCGGATGTGTGGAATTAATTAATTTATTCAAGTAAAAACATAACATGTGTTACAAGTTTTTATTTGTCTCATAGTAGGCATGAGCCCCCAATCAGTAAAAGCTCCTGTAGTAAGAGAAATTTTGTCAGAATACGACGTGCTCTAGTAGTCGTGAATAATTAAAGCAAAATACACCATAAATGCTCTTCAAGGCGTGCCTTACGCGTCTTAATTGGTGTTAGATACGGCGTTAATGGAGTGTTGTAATACTAGAAAACAATAATGGCATACATGTGTACCGTGATTTATATTTGATACGACGTTTGTTGAGTGTCGTAATAATGTGAAGACAATTACATCATATGACATATATCGTAAAAGAAGACTACAATCAATAATTATTGCTGATTTTGCTTGCTGTAGTTTAAATTTATTTTCCTTGCATTTACGTGCATTTAGACAGATCTTACTCATTCAATTAATCTAATTGAAATAAAACAATCCACGTCGTATTAGAAAAGAATTCACGTTTGTGTGTTGGAAAAGCTTCAACTTGTGATTCATAATTGTCCAATTGAGAATTCCATTCCAATAACTAATATTCCTTTTGCCCTTTTTCTTAAGAAAGATCTATACTAGTAGTTACGGAAATAGGTAATCTTGATGAATAGATACGAATAGATAAGAAGAGAATGGGTGTCTTGTTCTTCAATTGAATCTTTTTGGGATTCACTTATGTTAGTGACCCGTAAAAATGCACGGACGGTAAATGTAGAGACTCGGGATCCCAAAAGTATATTGAAATAACGTCACGATTACAAGTAGCGTTTCACCACTTATTATTTTGAACATAAGAATTAAGAATTACCACGAGGTGAAAACGAAATGGTAATTTGCAGGCCGAAGCAGTAATAGCATGGCCGCTTACAGGTCCTGCCTTTATACAATAAATCCACCTCTCTTACACATTCTGCAAAGCCACAAACTAAAATTCACCAAAAAAACACATCCGGTAGGTGAATGAGCACAGCAGAAGAGTGAGCAGAGCAGAAGAGGGAAGGTTATAAGATGAAAAAATGGGAGATGTTCTAGTTGGAACTTGGAGAAAGATTAAAACGCCAAAAATGTGAAACCTTCTTCAGCAAAAAGCTCTACTACTATCCTGATAAACTCAGGATTCATCAATTCCAGGGTATTGTGAGTGAGAGGCAGCGAGAAGGGCAGCTCCAATCCCAGACCCATCGTTAGAGTGCTCAATAACAACAGTTTCAGCAACTTCCTCTCCGAGCAATTCTCGTAGAGTATTCTCCATGCACTTGCTATATTCAGTGTAATGCTCGTATAATCCACCATCCAAAGCTACCACTGTCTTCTTGTTTTCCCCATCCTTGACCGCGTCTCTTCCCAGCTTTTTCAGTACACCCAAGACTCCAGCAGCAGCAAGGCGTGCCCCACGTGTAGCAACTATATTGCAGAGCTCAACAATAACTTTTCTTACTTTAAGAGAAGTATTTGATATCTGAAGCAGAATTAGAACACTTCAAAAGTTTAAATCTACACAAACTTATTGGATTAGTATGGCCAACAACATTTAAAGTCATTCATGTGAAGATAAGAGCATCGTCTTTTGATTCAACCTCTTTATACGTCTTTCGAAGGCCACATCTGATATTAATAGTTGGAAGTGAAAATTAAACACACCTCCAATACATTCTTCAATTTTTCTCGTACCACCCTAAGATCAGAGGATGCATCCTGATGCATCGCAGACATGTCAGGTGTCCTGCGTGATTCAAAGCTCACATTTTAACTGCTTAGCGGGAAACAAAATCCCAAAGGCTATAATAAATCCAAAGAATCTAAAAAATGTAAGGAAAGTAAAACTAAATGCACTAAACGTCAACATATACAGCTACAACTACATGGTCTACGTACGGGACAACCTCAAATTGAAAGGAACTTTTAACTTTGGTGGAATAGTGTCACCAAAAAGGGAAGCTTCTTCAGCAATCCTACAAAGAACTCTGCGAACAATTTCTCCCAAGTACATTCCAGAAATTATCTTCTCAAAAATCTAAAGAATCAGTTCAACGACATTAAAATAAGTGTATTATAGAGTTTGTTAGAAAAGAAAAGATAAACAAATTGAAGAAGTATATAATTACAATCACCTGATCACCAGGGTTCAAACTTTCAGTATCCAATGAATGATCATATTCTGTCAACGGAAGGTGAGCTGACTTAAAGTTACCCCATTCCATGTTGATAACCTACAGTCCACAGTCAGCAGCTTCGAAATTCACTTTATAATTTTCAGTTGCTACTGGTTTTCATAATTGCACAACCCTAAGGCTAAACAAAAGTTTGAAAAGATTTTTTATTTTATTTTTTGAAGTATTGAATATGAAATTGACACGGGTCAATGGCCGTGAAGCCGTGAAGGAGTTGCTAACCATCTCTCCTGATTTAGGTAGCAGACCATGCCATTTTGGTATTGCTTGTGCACGTTCCACATATGCTGCATTTGTCCCTGTACCTAAAATCACGGCAGCGACAACATCCTGATTGATATACCTACCTCCAGCTAATGTCCCAATTGTGTCATTAACCTGGTGATAAAGTGACCACTAACACTTAATTTTAAATTATAATTGATATGAAAAAGCATTTTTATGTCGTACCAACGCAAAGCCAATAAATATATTCATAGAATCAACACAAAGGCCTTTTATTAATAACTGAAAATAACTCATCAAGTTTTACTTACCAGAGCAGATACACACATATCAAGGCCTGTTCTTTCAATGGCTTTACTGAGTGCAGCCACTACATCTTGGCCAACCTATTCAGCATCAAGAGTTGGTCATGAAGGTTGAAATACGAGTGCAAAACAGGTTTCACGATTTTAGAATATGTTTATTATTGGACATCACGCAATAATTTAAATACTAGATATGCTTAATGCTTCAAATGAACATAATATACTAGAGTATTTTTGCACTGTTGAATGAAATGGATGGCCAGGGAAATGGACTAGAGTATTTTTGCTGTGCATTGTTTATAGTTGATGAAGCTCACTGAAAAGATAGTTAGAAGTGACACCGACTACAATTGTTAAGAAACAAAAGCTAACTTTAACAATTCTGAAGTTTCAGGATTATGAGGACAACTATTTCTCAGAAACTGAACCACAATCACAAGTTACTGATACATGGAATTCTTTATCTTATGAATTCAAGGACTCACGTGAAATAACTTTCTTTTAACAGGGGAAAGTGGAGTAAAATAGTAGCTGTAGTAGATGGACAAATGTATTACTAAATCCCTCGCCCTAATATACCTACACATTATAAGTGCTGATATTCACTTTTTCACAAGAGATTACCATTGGAGAATATAGAAAACATTAAACTACGGAGAACAAAAGTAATAGAGAATTAAAGGAGCCAAAGTACTAAAGTAATGAGGACTGAACTGCATCATCTATAGAAAAGCCTTTCGTCCACTTAAGAAGGGTCCCCGAATTAATTGATGATTGCAGCACAGGGAATGAGAAGGTAAAACCTAGTTCCCTCTGCCTGCCAGGAGGGGGTTGATGATCTTGACCTTCTTTAGCAACAAACTTAGCAAGTTCTGCCGCAATGTAGTCAAAGAGTGCCTGAAATCACAATCATTCTTTAGATTTGGGAGGTGTTTTCACATAAAAACATTAATTAACATTGGCTTAGTTAGCGACAATTTACTTACGTCTGAAGTCCCAACCATAAGATTTTCAGGAATTGAGACCTCAATAAATTCTTGACTAACTATTCCACGACCCTTTCCCCCCAAATGCACCCTCAGCACACGGAAGTTTGTTCCTCCGAGATCCAATGCATAAAACAACCCTTTCTCATTCCTGAAATAGGAAATACATGTATATAGATATTAAGAGGAGATGTCAAAATCTGACAGCAGAAATTTTCAATATGACACAACTGTCCAAGTACTACGAAACAAACACAATGGACAATTCACACATCAAATTCTACACCAAAATTGATCAAGAGATCAACCTTCAAAAACAAGATTTGGACAAAATTTGATCAACCCTTTTCGCAACTGCGAACATTTAACCGAAACTTTCACTCCATTTATAAAGAAAGATTAAAACTTCAGAGCTTACCCCAAAAATATACACACCAAAGAGATCAAGAAATGGACTTTGAATCCAACGATGGAGACCCAAATCAATATAAGTAAAAACAAAAACTCCCCACATCAATCAGACCCAAAACAGATCAAACGGTACAAGTCGATCCAGAATATGCATTACACATATATGCATGTCAGGAAATCAAAGGGGTCATTAGATTGATTGAATAGCTATGTACCCAGTGGGGAGATTGTCGACATAGCTAATGATCATCTTGAGCTTACTGCCTCCTTCGGAAGCGAGGCCGGCATGCATCTCCACAGCCATGGCGTCAGCCACCTGCCTCAGCTTCTCAGTGGGGGTGCCACACTTCTCCTCGAGCTCCTTGATGATGGCGGATGCCCGGGCCCACCGTCCCGAGCTCCGCATGCGGTGGCGCACCACCAAAACAGCCGCCGCGGCGCAAACGGCCGTTGCGGTAACGATTATCACCGCCTTCCTCCCCATTGTTTCGGTTTATTTCGGGTTTGGAGTTGTTTGTGGACAAGTAAATGAAATGCTCTGTTTTTTTGGTTGGGGGAGTGTGATGCAAATTTTAACGGGTCAAAATAAAGGATGAATTATTATCTATATTAAGGGTTGTGAAATAAGTTAGCAATAATGTGATTCAAATTTGTTTCTGGCAGAAATCAAACATAAAGTTTCTTATTTACAAATGAAGAAGATTACCACTAAACCGTAGTACTAACACTATGTTTGGATGAAAGAAATAAACTTGAAATTTTGGTAAAAGTCAAAATTTATAAATTAACGTTCATCAATTCCCTTGTTTGGATTCATAAACATAGAAATTTAGAATTTCCACATGGAAAAATAACTTGGAATTTGGGACCTCCAATTCCCAAGTTCAAATTCCATGTAAATAGGTATCATTTCCCAATTTCTATGATTGAGAGTTTAAAAATAACAAATTCCGTATTCAATTTCATTGTTCTTTTAGGTTAACCAAACAAGAAAATTTACAAATTCTAGAAAATAAAATCTTGTCATTTCAATTTCCGTCATTTTAAAATTCCTTAGTAATTTTAAATTTCTTCATCCAAACATAGTGTAAGTGACTATATGAAAAGATTTTAAATGAAGGATATGGATTTAGAATTTCCTATTAAATGGCTTAATGTGACGGAAACTATTAATCATTTTAATTTCAATAAGGAAAATTTTTATACACATTTTTTTCTTGTTTTACGTATTCATATTTAATCTGGTGACGAAAAGATGATTACATAGAATGTAAAGGGTAACTGAAATCAACACCATCTTAATATAAAAATGGAATTAACTTGGCTTCAGCAGCCTCTACTATTTATACCCAATCATGTGTGGTGTTGACACGTGTCCAAGTTTTGATTAAAAAAATCAAAATTTGGACACGTGTTCACTCGGGATTGGGTGTAAGTAGGAAAATTCAGCAACCAAGTCTTGTTCTATAAAAATGATGGGGTTATCTTCAGAATAGTGAATGATGTGTATAACAAATTTTAGAAGTTCATGCTAGGGAGAACAAATTTTTTAAACCAAATTTACAAACTCAATGATGTGGTTGCAAATGATTGAATTATTAACTAAATATCGATTAACGTGTTTGTTTCTTACTGGTGAATCATTCTGTCTGGAAAGAGAGAATCTAAATTTGAGACTCTTGGTAAGAACTGAGAAATACCACTACACTACTAGTTGGTCGGTGCACTACACTAATAGTTGGCCAGTGTTGGAATCAAAATTGTGGACGGAGGAGCTACGAAAATGTTGATACCTATAAGAGGACAAATAACCATGATTAACCTAAGGTACCAATCAAAAGGTATATGACTATCAATTTAGTAAGCAATATTGAGACTCAAGCAGTAGGTAAGAGAATAAACAAAGAGCATGCACGAGTGAATTGCGTTTATTGCATTACCCAAGATGAACCCTAGATGAGGGTGTTTATACTAGTCGGGAAATAGATTTTTTAGGATATAGAATTCCTATTAAACCGGAATAATCTAAGAGGATATCTAGGATTAGATATTGTGTCCTTTTAGGATTAGATATTGTGACTACTTGCGGCTCATGTCAATCCTTATATTGTATGAATCCCCAAGGATATAGAAAACTTGTATGATCCCTAGTGGATTAAGATTCCGTGTCTTACGGACCAAGAATGGTCAATCTCAGCAAAATGCGCAAACTTTGCTACCTTTACGGAGTAAAACAAGATATGGTGGGATTGCTAGTTCATTCGAAGATACCTGTATTTCAATCTATCTTATTTCGACCTTGAAAAATTAGTCCCACAAACGGTGTCCATGCGATCGATTTTGGCACCGGAGGTTGATGCGGAATTTTTCCCTTTTGTCCTACATGTTTGGGTGGTTATCCTCTTTTTAACTTTTCTAGGAACCTCTTGAACTACTTCAGTGTGAGTTCAACATAATAAAAGTCCGATTCGACTATACACAAATAAGCAAATGCCAATATTGATAAAACCATTGTTTCCCAAAATATATTGTCCAAACAATACAACCTTCAAGTTTGGCATTTGTTGGGAGATAAATAACCAAAATCCAACATTGTTGTCAACACGTGTAATTCTAATGGGAATTCAACCACATATTTGCACAATCCCAGTTAAAACTCTCAAATTCCAGAAATCATTTAGGTTGCTTGATTCCAATGAGGATAAAACGCTTTATCAAGATTTGAAATCAAGTCAGAACACCGACGGTTATGAATCTCTTAAATCGTGGCGAACCGGACAGTATGGCGTCTTTAGTTCAATGGATTACAAGAGTGCAAACCGTACAGTATTCTGATTTTGGAAGGATTAATAAATAAACACAATCTAAACCAGACATTCTCTCTAACGAACAAGTAACGAAAGATGGCGATGGGGTCATTTTAAATATTCATTACATAGCATATAATGTACAAAGGTTGAAGATTAGACATAACCTCAACAATGGTCCCTCTCAAACTCGAAACAAAAAGGTCCTAATACCAGTGCACATTGAGCACATTACACAAGCCAACATAAACACGACGACTGATCCAAAAGAAGAAACTACAAACGTTTTGTTTTTTTCTTTTTTCAATTTTTTTTGGTTTTTTTCATGGATCTGGAGAACCTAGGACGACGAAGGGTAAAAACCCTTTGCCACACCCGCACAGACGACGAAAAGTAAAAACCTAATGCCTATCTGCAGAAGTTCAGCGAGCACCTGAATAAATTCTCTTAAGACTCTTAAGAGCATCCAAAGCTCAAAACTTAAGCAGATAAACATAATTCACACATGCTAAAGATGAAAATTGTACATAAAGATGACTTCCAGTTCGAGTCCCCTGGCTTCATCCGCAAGGTTGTATGGACAAGCATGCCTGGAAAAAAACGAAATGAAAGCCAGCAATAAAAAGAACACTTACCCGAGCTGCTGGCTTTCGTCGTCTCTCATTTTTTGAGTCCCCAAATTTCAGAGAAATCCACTAAGATTCAACATGCTCAGGCCGTTGATGTTAGGCTAAACCTGTCATTACCACAGCAAAAGGCGAAGCATAAAGATAAACAATACGTCAAAATAATCAAGAAAAATGAATGTAGAAGTTCAATACACATGCCTCAACCCTGTTATTTGTTCTGAGTTTACTCCCTCGCTGGAATTGAGTACCATCCCAAATGCAGCGTTCACCTTCTTAGTAAAATGCAAAACAAAAAAATAAAGATAAAAAGAAATTAGGTAGATTGGTCAGTGCAAACTAAAGCTCCAAGATAAGAGATCTTAATGAAAATGAAAACGAGCTAGTTATGGTGCAGGGTATTCCCAAATGTCCAATGTTTAAACATGCGCAACACAAATGAGGACCAACGCAGATCCTGGCAGGACTGGCATTAGTGTTCAAGATACCTCAGATGTTGCTACTTTTATGCCATTGGTGCATTTGGTCATAGAGTCCGAGTTAGATTGAAGAAATTAAGACGACATCCAACTAGCAGAATACTATGTTGCAAAAGAAAGCAACCAGATAATGCAAATGATTCACCAAAAAACTGAGTCCAAGTAAAGGAACTTAAATCCAAAACCTCTAATGCTTCACGGGATCCATTTTGCTGTAGGTTTCCATTTATGCATCCATTATCCGAAAGACCTTTGGAGTCTGCCCCACATACATCACCCTGCAAATATCCTGGGTTGTTACTCCCAACACTGCTTCCGTCGACGTTCCTAGTGTTCCCTTCACAGATACCAGCCACTAATCCAAATCCAGCATCATCACAACTGCCCTTGCTTGAAACATGTGTAATAGTACTGGAATTGGAGGCATATTCAGGCTCCATTTCACCAGACAGCGTTCTTTTATTTGACTCTACTACTTCCATGCTAAAACCTTTATCCGAAGGCTCTGGACATGCACTGCTTGCGTTGTGACTGATAATTACAGGAGAAACTGAATCATGGGGCGGAGGGCTAGTAGATTGCCGTTTCTGTGGTGTAGTATCTTGATTCACCTCCACCCCATCAAGATCCTTCCTCTTCAGGTGTCTCTCGCTAGAACCACTCCCACAAACTTCGCCATCATTAGCCTGCTGCTGGGCGATAACTCTAGATGGTTGCGGTCGTTTACAACCATCAGGGTACACATAAGGAGGAAGTTGCCTTCTACGAACATGAGAAACATAAATTTCCATCCCTGGTTTCCAAAACACGTACATATTAATGGAATGCCTGAACTCATCAACAGTCCCTCGTATATCAAACTGCTGACCCTGAACCTTTTCACCCTGTTTCCTCTGCAAACCCATAAAAAATGCACTATGTGCACATTGTTTATTAGCATCAAAATACTCATGGGGATAAGGATGGCACTGTAACATCCCTAAAGTATCTCGTTCAATCTGCAAATGTAAAAGACACACCAAAATAAGAGCCACAAATATACTAACATTTCTATTTTTAAGAGAAGCCAAAAATAAAGATTATTACCATTAGAGTTAGTTGCCTCAGCCGAGATTCCACCCAGCCTTTCCAAGCACGCAAGTCATCAACATCAGCAGCAACTATGTCAACCTGGAGATAGTTTTTGTAGCTTTCAAAGAACAAGTACGGCTCAAACAAAGCACACCATTGAGCTTTATTCAATTCCACTTCCTGGATTTAAAAAATTAAAAGAAAAAAGGATAAAATAGTCAGCCATTAGAGTTAGTTGCCTCAGCCGAGATTCCACCCAGCCTTTCCAAGCACACAAGTCATCAACATGAAAAGGGCGGGCAAGGGAACAGAACAAGTACAAACCTCACAGATTTTGTTTCCGTAACAGAACTGCTCGACCATAACACGCAGAGTACTTTGTGAAACATTATAGCTAGAATTCATACAAGGGTATGCAGGAGTAATAATTGGCATATGATGAGTCCGGTCACGAGGATATCTGCGAGGGTCCCAAACAGAAAAGCCGAGTTCATCCTCTTCAATGGGACACAACATGACAGGATTTGGCCAACGCCACTGCGTATAGACCCTGAAGAATCGAGAAACCAGCATGCTGGGAACTGCATTGGGATAAAGCTGGCAAACCCGGGCAACAAGAAGAGCCCAGTTCACTCCGCCAAGAAATCCAGTAACCTGACATATTTTCAAAACAGGATGCAGTCAGCTTAAATGTTGAAAAATAACAAATAAAAAACATAATATAACTTATTAAGTGAGGAGGCACTCACATTGGAATAAACACCACGTCTTTTTGCCCAAAACTTCAAGCATCTGAGTGTTGTACAAAAATGCTACAACCAAAAAAGTACCACAGGAGAGGTTCAATACACCAGTAAATATATGTCTTAACAAAATAAAAACCGGCAATTGGCAGAAAAAATAAACCCATTCGATAGGAAGCATTTCACCTCAACATTTGGAACAAGCTTTAGAATTTGATCAGCGACCCTGCAGCCATTAAGACTTCGAACAGTAGGCTCATCGATATCGTACAACAGAGATACATCAGAAATGTCCAGGTCCTGTTTAATAAAAAAGAATCCCTAGAGAGATTAGGCAAAAAATATGAAGAGGATAAATGCCAACGCTACAAAAAAAAAATGTGATTAACATGACAAATTAAAACCGTTCTAAAATGTAATGCACCTTGACAAAATGAAAATTAGCTAAAGAAAATAAGTCACTGAACCTGGTATTGTACAAAACCTATTTTCCTACAATCACCGTAAAGGAATTTTATAAGCCAAGATTATTCATTCAGATAGCTAACTGAACACTTATATTTCTCTTGAATTACATGTGAAGAATGTTTTATTATATTTTTGTATATACTGCAGAGTTCTACTAAATAGAAACAGCTAACATATACATGGTTTGCATTCATTTTGATTTGCAGTGAGAGCACACAGGTCCTTATTCATCCAGGAGAGGCATCAGGGTAAGAACGAGACAAATTAATCTATCCAAGACAGCAAATGCAGTCCAAGCCTGTGGCCAACCCGCATGGGACATCAAACAAATAACAAACAGCAAACATAGAGAGAGGAAAAAGAAAATCCCTAAACCATCTCATCCACAAAATAGCACATCAACTTCAGAAAAAATAAAGTGTTGCACTTCAATAATTCCATGACACTTGGTTTTTTTTTTTTAAGTTTAACAAGAGTTCAATACTTACTTCTGGTACAACCAAGAGAGAAATACTAGCATAAAGGAGGTCAATCGATATTCCGTCAAACTTAAATTTCATTACAGGAACATGAGCATCTGGCACTGGTTGCAGTTCGGTCACCTCTTCCATCTTAGCCAGAATGTTGTGCAATACAAAGAAGAAGTCTTCCTGAAGATGACATAACAGTACTGAATAAATATACACTCATACAGTGAACAATGACAAGACTCAGAACTCCATGGAAAACCTGTTTCCCGTCAATGGTTACCTCTCGATTGATATAGGATGGCCCAACACATAATGTGTCTATGTCAGCACCAGGACCATGCACCTACATAAAAAATAAAAGTGCACAAGTAAAATCTGAACATGCAAAACCAAAATCATTGGCAAATAAGAATAACAAATTAGTAAAAAGTTGATGGGGCAACATTAGAGGCATTTTGAATTTCCAAGTATTTTTTCCCTCTCTCTCACAAACCAATTCAGACCACAAAAAGAAATTCCGCAAACAAAATCAAAAGCGACCATACTTACCCCTAGTCTATAGGAGCCAAATGTAAAAATAAGAGCATTAGCATCCTCAACCATTTGATCTGTGTATCCTCTCAAGCGAGTAAGTTGCTTCACCCAATCCTTGACAATCTAACAATCAGAAGATGGGAATGGGAAAGTTGAAAATGACAAATCAGTAAAAATAAATTGATTATTATAAAAGGAACAAAAACACAATGTGAATGCCAATTAACATATACATTAATCGCAGATCTCATAAGGCTGATATACCTAAAAGCGTGACCTTTAATCAGAAACACATCAAACCCAAAACCATGACCTTTATTCCAAGGGAATGATTTCAGTAACAAATATAGTTGCATGTCCAGGCTATCATCTTGTTCATGCATCACAAGTTAGCTTTTCCTTCTTTATTAGTCATAATTTTTAAGGGGATACTATAATTTATACAAGACACGTAGTCTAACTTTACCTCTAGAACCCTCCGTCTGCAACTTTTTACTCATTTGAAGCTTTGACATCATACACTAATACAAGATCATTGCCCTTACTGAAGTCCAGAATATTTTCAGACTTTTCAGTCTTCTAGTTGTTCTTATTCTAAACATCAGAAAACCTATTCGATGTTCAGGTATGCCACAAAATTTAATTACACATCCAAACCCATTGGATATAAACACCATACCAGTGCATATTTGTGTTTACGATTGGCACTTTAACTGAAAAATTAGGCAACTTGGAAAATATAAGACAAACAAATTTGATAATACTAAAATCAATCACACCTACAATTAGGACAAACAAAAGAAGGCAATCAACTGAGAGAAATTTATATTCTGCATATTAGATTCTGATTTGGAACATGAGTATGCATCAAAACAATTATCAAAGTAATGATAAATAATTACTGTCCTAAACCATAAATTCCTAATCACTCTCTCCTATTGACTCAACAAGTCTACAATACTAAAACTGTATTAAGTGTTCATTAGCACACGATTTGTTTAAAAAGGGCGAATAATCACCTGCCCGATACGCTGAAGAACCTCCTCTCTCTTGGCAACTTCCTCTTTGCTCTCATAAAGCCCAGCTTCAACCAAAAACTTCAAACACCCAGAAACAAAATATTCACAAACAGAACATTAAGAACCAAAAAAATAATCAATATTCCCAAAATTTGATAGCACAAACCTTCTCCAACTCCAATGTCCTCTGAATATCGACTTCGGTAGGCCCCGCAGTCGATATTGGCTTTGTCACTCCGTACTGCCTCACCGCCGCTTGAAGAGGCGACAGCGGAGCACTCAATCCCTCTGAACTCACCATCTCAGCATCCCAAAACGAATTTGAAAAAGAAGATAAAAAAGAAAAATCCTTTCGAATAAATATCAGAAAGCCCTAGAATTCCACTAGAAAGATGACAGGATCTTGAACCCTAACCCTAGAATCTACGAAAGGCGGAGAAAATAAGGCAGGACGAAAGGTTTTTAATAGTGAAGAAATACCCGAAACCCTAATAACGGAAGGAAATCGAAAGCCGACAACTTTCCCAAAAAGATCAGAATTTCGAAACCGAAACGAATTGGGAAATTTGTGAAAATTCAGATCCAAAACGGAACAAGGAAACCCTAAGGGATTCAATTCTACAGACGGAAAACAAACCCTAAAACGCGTCGGAAAAGAGAGTTGGAGAAGTCAGAGAGAGAGAGAGAGAGATCGAGAGAGGTGTTGGTTGGCGGTCGGTTGGATTTTTTTATGGGTTTTTTTTTTTTGTTTTGACATTTTTTTTATTTTTTTATTATTTTTTATCTTGGGGTTTTATTTGCTTTTGAATTGTGGGGGCTTTTATATTTTAACGGCGTTGCGGTGGTTACGCGGGGGGCGCTTTTAATAAAGAAAGAGGGAAAACTGGTGCGCTCGCGTTCCACCGGCACTCGGGTTTTCTGTACACTGCACCGTAGTAGTAACGTCAACTACAAGGAAACTCTTGTCACTTTTAACGGATCCTTCGGCCTCGTTACACGTGGCGACGTGGGAGTGCTCTTTCTTTCTTTTTTCTTCTTTCCAATAGCAAGCTTTTTTTTTTTTTTTTTTTTTGTCAAATTTTTCTAATAGCAAAATTTTTTTACGAGAAATTCGAATTTGTGAGTAGCAATAACTCGCTTTTAATTTTGACGAATTTATAGTTAAAAAACAATTAAATACATTTGATCAATGAGATTTTACTTAATAAATCTTCGATGTCGAAGACAACTTCTTTGAAATGAGAGAGTTTAAAGTTTAATTGCACAACAAAAACTTACTAGAATTTGGTGGAGAATGAAGTACCTATAGGGAGATAGACGGCCACATGTGTAGGGATTGTCATGCCATGTGTTGATGTTCAATTGACCAAAATGTGTCATCTGTTGAATGCAATAGGAAAGAATTATCCTGAAATATTATTAATTAAATAATATCCTTAAATTGTTGTGAAATTCTTGATTAGATCTGATTGTGATTCTTTGCTTGATTGAGTATGTCTTCAATAAGGAAGGTATAAAGATAATGATTTAGTTATTAATCATCTCTTTTACAGCTTTGACTTTTTTCTTTGCCTTAGGCTGGACAACTTGGAGAAGTTGTAGTTAATTCAGGTCAGATTGGAGAAGTCTCGCTAATTTAATGAAGACATTCTCATCTCTAGGGTCAAAGTTCACATGTCAGCTCCAAGAATTTCTATATTATTTTTTACTCCACAAATACCACACACCTGTTGTGCTACGCTTAGGAGGTGCGGGAGATGAGAAGTCCAAGTTGAGTAAATCCACCACAAATTGGTTCTTCAACTGCATTGAATCCTCTGACTCTTAGTAAAAACCTTTTGGAGATGGAGTCAACTACTTACAAAATTTATTTAATTCTATCTTTCCTAGGGGATTAAGTAAACCTATAGAGCAATTCTTTACAGTGTTACCATGGGGCAGCTCGAGAGAAGTGGGCAGGGGCCGTATGGTGGACATGGTAGCAGAGGTTGCCTGATGGTGGCGTCGGCGTGGCTCGATTGGAGCCGAGGTGAACTACGAGAGTTATCTTTATTAATTAATAAAACACTCATTGTCAACCAAAATTCTATGAAATTATCAGTTTAACCCTCTAATTAAAACAAAACATGAATAAGAAATATGGGGCACAAATGTAATTTCACACAACCAAATTTCGCTATTTTTTTTCAAAACCTCATTTACATGTAATCCTAACATATCTCTAATTAAAATAAATAAATAAAAATAAAAAAACTTATCAATCCCACATTCTATATCACTCTCTTTCTTTCTCCTTCTATTTCAAAAACAAAAATAAAAATTTTTGTCACACACTTTGTGTGTGCCCATATGCTAGTTTTCAATTAAGGTATGAACTTTATTAATCTCTAAGGGAAGCCCAAAGTTTAGAACCTATACATATCTGTCATGCTTTAGGCATGCAACAAATTAATCTACATCATTTATGAGACAAGAACGGATGTACCAATGCTTATTCACAATGTTCTTGAATCTGTCATTTCTCCTCCTAACGTGTTGGAAATAAAGTATAAGAAATACAAAGAACAAGAGGGAATATAGAGATTGGGTGGAGAAATGTGAGTGTATTTCCTTCTTATTAGAGTGCCTAGTTATAGATGTAGGATTTACATAGGAAGATATTCAACTATTGAGATATTACATAGCAGGGTCGTCTCTGAGATTTCGGGGCCCTGTGTGAAATTCATAAAAGGGGTCTTTCTTATAAGCCATCATTTATATCTCAAATAAGATCACAATAAAATTATAGTAAGTATAAACAATGAAACTTGATAATCCGTAATGCGTGCGCGTCTAGCGATTTTTTGTGACTCATTTTCTCTTGATTTTGCCCTAAAAAGTACAAAAGAAAAGAAAATCATTATAGATGAGAAATACCCAAATCTTCAAATTTCAATTCAATATACTTAAATTAGTAAATATCTTACTTTGATCGAAGTCTACATCACTCTGATCAGTTGAATTGTCTTCATGATTTGGAAGTTTCTCTTCAATTTCATAAATTTATAAATTTGGGTTTAATAATTTGTGGGAAATATAACAATGGGACGAAGAGAGAATGGGAAGTAGACTGGGACACTGGCGACAACGTCTGAAATTCTGACTTATGGTGCTCTGGTGTGAAAGAAGAAAAAAAAAAGAAGGGGAAGCAGCGATTAGACTTTGGCCTGAGAGAAGAAGTCTGAGTCTCTGAATTGTTTCCCTCAGTCAATGGAATTCTCCACTTTTAATTGATTAGCTTTGCCTTTTTTTTTTTTTTTTTTTGCTAGATTAGCTTTGCCCTTTGTTAATTATTATTTTATATAATTTACCTACATATGTTAGGTACTAGTGGCTTTTAGGGCCCATCAGATATATATATATATTGATTTGATTAGTATTTCTATATATTATTTTTATATATTATTATTTTATATATTATTATATTGAATAAAAAAATATTTTTGGGGGCCCCCAAATTTAGGGGCCTTGTGCAATAGAACCGGTTGCACTTCCCAAAAACCGGCTCTATTACATAGTGACCCGGAATGAAAACAGTCATATAATAAATATTATTCATAACAATCCTTTGTTTTTTATTAAAAAAAAAAAGGAATGAGTGACTCGAATTTGAGACGATTTTCTCTTGAATGAAGAAAGACAAAGACAAAATGTCTATGAGATAGATGCGGCAAACAGGCTGTGTTCGTGTCATATCTGTTATCTTAACAGGTTTTCAATAAGTGACCCGATAACGACCTGGGTTGACCCGAAACCTATTTTTTCGTGTCATTTCGCATCAGATTAACGAGTCGTGTAAGAAATTGTCAAGCCGAGTAAGAAGTACACATAAAAATGTTTAGAGGATAGCACTTTGTACAATGCAATTCTTGACATGGTATAAAAATGTAAAAGTTAGAGAGATAACCTTTATAGTGAGTGGTGTGAAGCAGATGTAAAATATCACACTGTAATTAAAACACAAGGAGATGGCAAATTAAAGAGAGATGAATGGATGATATTATTGATCTGTTTGTTTTCTATCTGTTTTTCCGTATCCTTTGATTGCATTCGAGTGCTTTATTTATAGAGCAACTCAAACAACCGTATTAATTGCATATGGAAATTTACAGCATGCAACTTTTGACAAACATGATGTCCTGCATCCAAAGTTACTTTCCATTTACATGGGTATTGAAAATGTGTATCTTTGTGGATTGAAAACTTTACCCAATGTTTTCAATTTCTATGTGGGCATTCAATTATCAGCCAACGTTGTCAATAATGCTGATATTTTTAACACTCCCCCTTGGATGCCCACATATCAACATCAGTTGCCTCGTTAAAACCTTGTTTGGAAAAACCCAGTGGGAAAAAACCATAGCGAAGGAAAAAGAGTACAACTTTACTTGGATTGCTGATATAGTGTTAAGTATGCTTATGTTGCCTCGTTAAAACCTTGATAGGAAAAACCCAGTGGGAAAAATCCTAATCGAAGGAAAAAGAGTACAACAAGCATGTATCATGGATGCTCCTCCTGAGATGTATCTCCCCCTGATTCCGCATTTTCCAAACTTAGTTGTTTGGTAAGTCGACGTAATCCGATACTTTGCACTAACTTCTGAAACATGCACTTTGGTAGACTTGGTGAACAAGTCTGCCAGATTTTCATTAGAACGGATTTGTCTGACTTCAATAACTTTAGCCTTCTGAAGCTCATGTGCGCTGAAAAACTTTGGAGATATGTGTTTAGTTTTATCCCCCTTGATGAATCCTTCCTTCATTTGGGCAACATATGCTGCATTATCTCCATGAATGACAGTTGGATTATCTGTCTTCGAAGTTAGACCACATGAATTCTGAATATGACGGACCATTGATCTTAACCAAGAACATTCATGACTTGCTTCATGTAAAGCAAGTATTTCTGAATGATTTGAAGATATAGCAACTAAGGTTTGCTTTGTTGAGCGCCATGAGATTGTTGTATCTCCATTCTTGAACACATATCCAGTTTGTGAGCGGGCTTTATACGGATCAGAGAGGAAACCAGCATCTGCATATCCGACGAGGACCTGGTCATTTGTGGAGTTCTTTGAGTAAAAGAGACCCATGTATGTTGTCCCATGAAGGTATCGCAATACATCTTTGACACCCTTCCAATGACGGATTGTTGGAGCAGAGCTATACCTGGCTAACAAGTTGCCTGAAAAAGCTATATCTGGTCTAGTACATTGTGCTAAATACAACAAAGCACCTACTACACTCAGATATGGTACTTCTGGACCAATGACCATTTCATCATCTTCTTTTGGACGAAATGAATCTTTCTTAATGTCCAGAGAACGAACGACCATTGGTGTGCTAAGTGGATAAGCTTTATCCATGACAAATCGCTTAAGAATTTTTTCAATGTAAGCTGATTGGTGGACCAAAATTCCACTAGCACAATGCTCGATCTGCAGGCCGAGACAATATTTTGTTTTCCCAAGGTCTTTCATTTCAAATTCGCTTTTCAGATATTCAGCAGTTTTATGGAGCTATTCAGGAGTTCCAACTAGGTTCATATCATCGACATATACTGGCATTATAGCAAATCCAGAGTTGGATTTCTTAATGAACACGCAAGGGCAAATGACATTGTTGGTACCATTCTTTGATCAAATACTCACTGAGACGATTATACCACATTTGTCCAGATTGTTTCAGTCCATACAATGATCGCCTTAATTTGATCGAGAGTATACCTCATGGTTTGTTACTTGTTTCAGGCAACTTAAGTCCTTCTGGGACTTTCATGTATATGTTAGTATCTAATTCTCTATATAGATACGCAGTGATGACATCCATAAGTCGCATGTCAAGTTTTTCTAAAACCACTAAACTTATTAAGTAACGGAACGTAATTGCGTCCATTACAGGATAATATGTCTCCTCATAATCAATTCCAGGTCTTTGTGAAAAACCTTGTGCAACGAGTCGTGCTTTATATCTAGCATTCTCGTTTTTTCATTGCGTTTCCTTGTGAATACCCATTTGTAACCCACGGGGTTTACATCAGGCGGGGTTTGGACTATTAGTCCAAAAACACTTCGCCTTTCCAAGGAATTTAATTCTGCCTGGATTGCATCTTTCCACTTAGGCCAATCTTGTCTCTGTTTGCACTCATCGACAGAGCGGGGCTCAATATCATCACTTAATATGATTTCAGTGGTTACTGCGAATGCAAACATATCGTCAATGATTATTTCATTCTGATCCCAAAATTCATTAGTACATGCATAATTTATGGAGATTTCTTTGTTTTCATGTACTTCTGTCTCTTCAGGGACATATGTCTCATTAAGGACATTTTCTTTTTGTGGAAGTCCAGAATCATGAATTGTGGATTTGTCATTCATTCTCTCTTCCTGAATGATTTGGATTCAGTTGTTCCCTTGTCTTTCTCTTTCGAGGGGCTAAATTTTTTGAACCTGGTGGTCTACCACGCTTCAGGCGTGCACCAGATGAATCATTCGCTGCCACTTTATTTTGTCCAACGGGGACATCAATTCTGGCAGGTGCATTGGTATATGCGATTTTGTCACTTTCATACCGTCATTAAATGCATCTGGTATTTGATTGGCAATGCTTTGAAGATGAACGATCCTTTTTACTTCATTTTCACATTGAATGCTTCGAGGATCAAAATGAGACAAAGTGGGAACAACCCATGTCAACTCTTTCCGTTATTCTGGAACGGTATTTTCTCCCCCTAACGATGGGAAGACTGTCTCATCAAAATGACAATCAGCAAAACGAGCTGTAAACATATCACCTGTCAAGGGTTCCAAATATCTAATGATAGATGGTGAATCAAAACCCACATAAATTCCCAGTCTACGCTGAGGTCCCATTTTAGTGCGTTGCGGGGGTATAATAGGCACATAAACAGCACAACCAAAAACTTGTAAATGTGAAATGTTTGGCTGATGTCCAAACACAAGTTGTATTGAAGAGTATTTGTGGTTGGCTATAGGTCTCAATCGAACCAATGATGCAGCATGTAGGATGGCATGTCCCCATGCAGAAACTGGCAATCTGGTTTTCATAAGCAAAGTGCGGGCTATTAACTGAAGTCGCTTGATCAATGATTCTGCTAAACCATTTTGAGTATGGACATGAGGAACATGGTGTTCAACATCAATGCCCAATGTCATGCAGTAATCATCAAAAGTTTGAGACGTAAATTCACCAGAGTTATCAAGTCGGATTGACTTAATGGGATAATCTGGGAACTGTGCTCGTAACTTAGTTATCTGAGCAAGAAGTCTTGCAAAAGCTACATTTCGAGTAGACAAGAGACAAACATGTGACCATCTGGTGGATGCATCAACCAAAACCATAAAATATCGAAATGGTCCACAAGATGGTTAAATAGGTCCACAAATATCCCCTTGAATTCTTTGCAGAAATGATGGGAATTCAGCATCAACCTTTAGTTGTGATGGTCTAATTACCAACTTCCCTTGAGAACAAGCCTTGCAAGGGTTATCATTTGAGATAGCAATGTCTCTGCTCAATAATGGATGTCCATTAGAGTTGGTAATGATCCTACGCATCATGATGGATCCTGGATGACCCAGACGGTCATGCCAAAGCATGTAAACCTTTGAATCAATGAACTTCTGGTTCATGACAATATGTGATTCAATTGTCCTTATGTATGTATAATATAATCCACTCGAAAAACCACGCAACTTCTCCAATATACGCTTTTGGGTATCATTGGAGGTAATGCATAGATATTCCACATTTTCTGCACTTTTCGTTTCAATTTGGTATCCATTTAGACGTATGTCTTTTAAACTCAACAAATTTCGAGTAGATCGAGTAGCATACAATGCATTTTGTATGGACAATATTGTTCCATTTGGTAACATAATCTGGGCTTTCCCTGAGCCTTCAATTACATCTGAAGGTCCTGATATTGTTGTTACCCCTACTCTTGTAAGCATTAAGCTTGAGAAATACTTTCGATCACGAAGTATTGTATGTGTGGTTGCACTGTCTATAAGACAAATATCTCCGCCATTTCTCATGTTCTGAGAATAACCACAATTTTTATCCATGCTTTCTAAGTAAATGGAATCACAGTTAACAAACAATTTATAACAGGAAATTTTCATGCCACTTTTATTGAATCTGAAAAACTAGTTTTAGACAACAAGTTCAGCATAATAAAAGTACATCAAACATAAACGATTTAGTCGGACTGGTATAATTCATTCCCCATTTCCATAATGAAGTCTGAAACATCTAGGTGAGTTGTGTCCAATTGCCCTAATAAATCAAACACTAGATCAGGTATATCCTTAGTTTAGCCTGGTTGAGAAAATTGGTCTCGACACCTTTCTCCTTAAGGGAGGCTTGATACAACTCCACCAGATGTTTTGGGGTACGACAAGTTCGCGCCCAATGTCCATTGCCACCACACCTATGGCAGGCTCCTTCAGAGTTCCTGGGAGCATTGTTCATGTGAGCTTTGCCTTTGTGACGATTCACATTTTTAAAGCTCAGGCTAGAATTGTGTCTTGGAACCTGGTTGTGAAACTGAACACCATGGTTTTTGCCTTTCCTGTTCCATCGACCTCGTTTGTGGCCACGTCTTCGTTTATGATAATCACCACCAAAGGATGTGGCATTCACTTCGAGGGAAGTAACATTCACTTCTGGGAATGGTGCAGATCTAATAGGTCGGGAATTATGGTTTTTCATCAGGAGCTCATTGTTCTGTTCAGCTACCAGGAGCACAGATATCAACTGGTTGTATTCAGTGTAGCCTCGCGCTCTATACTGCTGCTGCAGGATCATGTTATTGGCATGAAATGTGTTGTAAGTCTTTTCCAGCAACATTTCCTCAGTAATGGTATCCCCACAGAGCTTCATCTGAAAGGTAATGCTGAACAACGCATAATTGTACTCTGCCACTAATTTGAAATCCTGGATTCTCAAGTGAGACCACTCATAGTGAGCTTTTGGAAGAATCACCGTTGTCTGGTGATTGTATTTGCTTCTCAAGGCCTCCCAGAGAGCTAACTGATCTTCAACCGTTAAATACTCGCTCTTTAGTGCCTCGTCAAGATGGCAGCGAATAAAGATCATGGCCTTTTCCCGATCTTGAGAGGATGAGCTGCTTTCTTCCCTAATGGTATCTCCAAGATTCCCTGCTTCCAAATAGATCTTAGTATCCAGTACCCAGGTAAGGTAATTCTTCCCGGTAATGTCCAAGGCAGTATATTCAAGCTTCGCCAAGTTCGCAATTTTCTTTTCTGAAAGAAAATGAGATGTGTAAGAATTTGCAATAATATGTATTCCTGGAGGAACATAATGTTAGAACTTCTGGTTCTTACAAATTTTTTTCATTTTGATCTTCAGGCCAAAATGATAAGCACTCGAAACTTCTGGCTCGAGATTTTCAGTGTGAATGAGAAGGGTGATTGTACCGCACCATTCTCATTGAAAGAATGTAACATGGAATTGGCGATTATTCTGCACCACTCAAGTAGCAAGAAAATTGAAATACGCAGAGCAGGGTGGGCGATTATACCGCACCACCTAAAATTGCAATGAAATTAAACAGCAGGTAAATTTAAATTTGCAGAGCAAGGTGGGCGATTATTCCACTCCACCTGAAATTTGCAGTAAAAGTAGATCTGCAGTCCAAGATAGGCGATGATACCGCACCATCTTGGATCGCAGTAAGATGAAATTTGCAGTTCAAGATGGGCGATTGTACCGCACCATCTTGGATTGCAGTAAAATCAACATAAATAAATACTGGGTTAGTAATCAATATCCAAACCAAACAAGTAATCAAAAATGTATGTAATTGCTAGTTGGAGAACTACGAGCAGGCATGGAGCAAACAGTTCGTCGCGAGGGTATACCGCGCAGTTGAGGCAGAGGAAGAAGATGAACAGGAAAAACCTTAGAGGAAACATTTTTTTTTTTCGTTTGGCGGAGAGAAATGAGAGAATGATTTCTTTTGGTGTAAATGAGACATGGTTATATTTAGAGACTCGTGCTGATAACGTGTTATAAAAATGTAAAAGTTAGAGAGATAACCTTTATAGTGAGTGGTGCGAAGTAGATGTAAAATATCACACTGTAATTAAAACACAAGGAGATGGCAAATTAAAGAGGGAGGAATGGATGATATTATTGATCTGTTTGTTTTCTATCTGTTTTTCCGTATCCTTTGATTGCATTCAAGTGCTCTATTTATAGAGCAACTCAAACAACCGTATTAATTGCATATGGAAATTTACAGCATGCAACTTTTGACAAACATGATCTCCTGCATCCAAAGTTACTTTCCATTTACATGGGTATTGAAAATGTGTATCTGTGTGGATTGAAAACTCTACCCATTGTTTTCAATTTCTATGTGGGCATTCAATTATCAGCCAACGTTGTCAACAATGCTGATATTTTTAACATGACGAAGTATTTCACTTTTTGAGTGTAATTTACATCAATCTACACAACTGGTTAACTCAAAGCTCCGCCAAAATAAAATCTTTCATTTTCCTGAAATTTTGTTTTCCTAGTTTTCTATGATTACTAACGATCCAAATAAAGCATCCCTCTTCCTCTTGAGGCCACTCTCACCAGAACCAGATGCACAAACTTCACCATCATCGTGAGACAATTTATCATCCCAATTCTGCAGATGATCCGGGTCATCTATAACCATCCGGAAACACGTAAGTGGGAAGTAGCCTTTTATGAACATGAGAAACATAAATTTCCATCTCCGGTTTCCAAAACATGTACATGTTAACGAAAAGCTTGAACTCATCAACAGACCCTCGTATATCGAACTGCTCATGGCCTTGAATCTTGTCCCCTGGCTTCCTGTGCAAACCTATAAAAAATGCACTATGCGCATAGTGTTTGGTTGTGTCGAAATACTCATGGGGATAAGGGTGGCATTGCAACATACCTAATGTATCGCGTTCAATCTGCGAATGTAACCAGATGCAACAAAGTTAGGGACAACAGCCAACAGGGTATTTATATATTCGAAGAGACCAACGAAAACAGATAAGAGTGTTACGATTCGAGTCAGTTTCTTTAGTTTGGATTCCACCCAGCCTCTCCAAGAGCGCAAGTCATCGGCATCAGCAGCAACTGCGTCGATCTGGAGATAATTCTTGTAGCTTGCAAAGAACAAGTATGGTTCGAACAAAGCACACCACTTTGTTTTATACACTTCCACTTCCTGGATTCAAGAAATGATGAGGAAAAAGTGACCAACAGTCAATTATGAAAAAGTAACTTAGCGTTGCACGCTATTCTTCTTTTCTTTTTTTCTTTTTTTGTCGAATTACACACTATTCTTCTCACCTCACATATTTTGTTTCCGTGTCGAAATTGCTCTTCCATAACACACTGGGTACTTTGTGAGACATTCTTGCTAGAGTTTGTACAAGGGTAGGCAGGAGTTATAATTGGCATATGATGAGTCCGATCACTAGGATTTTTACGCGAATCCCAGACATAAAAACCAAGTTCGTTCTCTTCAAGGTCACATAACATGACAGGATTTGGCCAACGCCACAGGGAGTATACCCTAAAGAATCGAGAAACCAGCATGCTTGGAACTGCATTGGGGTAAAGTTGGCATACCCGGGCAACAAGAATAGCCAAGTTCACTCCATCAAGAAAGCCAATAACCTGAAGACAAATATGTTAAACGAAGCAGGCTATTAAAGTTGAAAGAACTTGTGCTGCGAGGAGGTACTCACATTCGAATAAACACCGCGCCTCTTCGCCCAAACTTCAACCATCTTAGTGTTTTGTGGAAATGCTACAACAATAAACATTGCCATGACAGTGGTTAATATACAGCAGCATATGTAGGTCTTTTGAAAAAAATCTAAATAAAACAGGTGATTGACAGATAAACTAAACACATGACTAGAAAGCACTTCACCTCAACATTTGGAACAAGTTTTGGAATTTGATTGGTAACCCTGCAGCCGTTAAGACTTCGAACAGTGGCCTCATCGACATTGTACAACACAGATAGGTCAGAAATGTCCAGGTACTGTTTTAAATAAATAAATAAGTTAAAATTCTCTAAGGCAATAATGAAAAAGGATGGAGAGAAGAAGATAGTGTTGGAATCTTATTTGGACTCTACAAATCATGATAAGGAATTGTCACATTATAATTATAATCAGTTAGAGTTAATTATTAGGTTAACTTCCTTCCTTTAAAGTAGGACCTTAAGGCAAACATGTTGAAGTGATGGAAAGCCCCACGTCTATAAGGATTGAGTAGTGCTTTCAGTTACCAACTGCTGTCCATAATAGGTGGAATGCAGTTTGGAACAGCATCTATATATGGAACGGTCCCTGCTCAAGAGGAAATGGTTTTATACAGAAACTAGCCCTATTCTAGTGAGAACATAAGGTCCCCATTGAGTAGAAGATTCTTCCTTATTCACCGTTTCACGGCTTTATCAGGCATACATCAGCCAAAGGTGAGAAGTTATTAATTTCTTTCTATCAAATGCATTTGGATTGAATTGATAACCAAACTCTTGTTCAGATATATGTATGTGGATTGTGATTTAGGGTTCTTGCTAATTTAAAGTTCCAACATTTGGTATCAGAGCATGTATTAGCTCACCCTAAATTCAATTCTTTTAATTACTATTGTTGTTGATTATATTTTGATCATGGGCACTATAATTCTTCGATTAATGTTTGTTGGTTTTCTTTTGGGTATTGTGATCACGTTTGATACTATGGTGAAAACACCGGAAACAACTTGGGCCTCTCCTTCAAAAACATGAACCCTCTGAGAACGAGAAAGAGACCGGGATAGTAAAAGAATCCGATACAGAAACCGTGACCGCCTGTATCAAAAGGTCGCGTACACCCGAGGGCATCAGTCCATGCAAGCATCAGTGGCGCAAGTCAACTATTGAAGATGTGAGGGGAGGCAAATTGTGATTAATTGGCTCATATAATTGAGTTGGCAACAATTAAAGACCGAAGACCAAATTGATTAGAGTGGTAGGCGTGCAAAGTAAAAGGGTTCCAGAAGCAAGTCGAAAGCAGGAAAGAAGCATCAAAGTTAATCACATAAATACATGGAATTAAGCATGTGTGACTTTGTGGATTAATAAAAGGAAAAGTCAGATGGTTGTTTTGACTAAATGGAGAGAATGAGGGAAGGCATGCCAATTGCTTATCCTTTAATTTTAAAGGAATCTAAAGCCTTCAATTTGGAAGCCAAGGCACAACAACGGCATCGTTAAGGGCATCATGAAGGAGGAAGAAAACTCAGCAAAAGCCGAGCAGCAATGGGGTTGGTCTGGAAGATTGCTTGGTTGCCTATGATATCACGAATGGCACAAGCTTGGTGGACTAATGTACATGGCTTTAATGGTTTTCTGGTTAGAGCTTTCTTTGGATTTGATTATAATTGTTTTTTAATTATAATTGTTCACATTAATGCTTTTCTTGGTAAGTCTTATTCAGGAATTGTTGGAGTTTCTGTGGAGCTTTCCTTTCGGTGGAATTTCAGGAAAAACAGAGATGGCATAAAAAAGGCAGAGAGAAAAGGAATCAAACTCCAACAAGAATGATGCCAAGGTTGCAACATGTCTAACTAGACAAATAATCATGCTATTAAACCATTAAACAAATGTTTGTAGAACTTTCACCAAAGTGGGGTTTTAAGGAAATTTTGTTTATTAAGGAGGTTGCATGGAATTGTGGTTCATAATCCACTACGGGTAAATATGTTGGCCGGTTGGTTTTATAAATCATCATAAGGGGTTTTTAATGAATTTTGAGCCAACTATATTCTTTTCCAAAGATTAGAGTATTAGTTGAAACTTGAGCTTTGATTAAAAAGGCTACATAATAAGGGTGCATATCGATATGATATACAGAAATTGCAGTTGTGTATCGTACCCAAAGGTGTTACATTGCTGTGTCAATTGATTATATATCAACTCTCTGGCTTCATCAGGTTTGTTCTTTGCTCTTTGTTCCAAAAACTTGCAGTTATGTTGAGTTGTAATCTATGCATGTGGCTAACCCTAAATTCCATTAAATTGACTTGTGAATGTACTGAATCATATATATCTTCTTACAATGCAAGGGTTGGGCATAATCATTATGGAGCTGGCATTTGTTGTTTTAGTGGAAGCTTGGTAAAAAGGTTTAATTAGAAAGCCACAAAGTTTTTTGTTACATACGGAACTTGCAAAATGATAGAAACTAGGCATTAATATTTATCTTTATGTTTAAAGAATGAAATTGAGATTGTAAACGAATTTTTGATGTGCCCTATAGTATTGTAGAAAGAACCAATGTTAGTTCTCCGGCTGAAAATAAAACTTGCATGGAGGGTTGATGTTTTTATTCTTAACGGATTAATACATCAATGTTAATTGTATAAATATAAAGTCTTCTACGATAATATTTTCTACACTAACCTCTACTTCTTCAGGAAAAATATATATGAGCGAGGTTTCGCAATGCAGACTTGTGTACATATGTTTTTCACCAAAGTGAAAAGACTTCAGGAATTGGATTATGTAAATTATGGTTTTAAAAACTCATAACATGTCAATATTCTTTTCCAAAGAGAGGAATGTATGAATGGGCTGAGATGGGTATAACATTTTTAAGAGAATTAAGTTGACTGTTTTCTTGTCCAAAGACTTGAAATCTTGGTTGTTTTCTTAATCTTTTACATGACTGTTATACAATAAGGTTACATAATCTATTACTGAATTATGGCAGTTTATGTTTCTTGCCCAAAGGTGTAACATAATCATGCATGAATAATGAAATTAATATAGCGGAGCAGATGAAGAAGGCGAAGTTCATAGTTTTTGGGTATGTTTTTTTTGTACCAATGATTCCGCAGCTTTGGTGATCAATTTTATTGGAAGAATGACATAGAAACTGTATTTGGTATGATACTAGATACCGGCCCCTGAAATATGTTTGCATTCAGTTTTCATTTAAATGAGGCATGGTAATAATATGTTTTGACCATGTGCCAAGAGTTTTCAGTAGAACTCCACACTCATTTTCCATTTGGGCACAAGCTCTTCCAAAACTCAGTGCAGCTCTTGACTATGTGTTACCACTGGTGCAAGTTTTTCCAACACCGTACTTCCTGCTATTTTCTGACAATTTATAACCTGTTGAATACGTATTTTATGAGTAATTTTGGTGAATGAGTGTTTTCCCAAGTGGGAGAATAAAAGTAAAAAGTTTTGGGCTACATACTCATTAAATTGTTCCATAGGCATTGTGTTCTAAATGTATTTGGGAGTTGTTTTTGTATTGTCCTAGTCACGTTGAAAGTGTAGTAAAGTTTTTGAATGCATATGTTTTTTTTGTTTTCCCTTCTATGTCGACAACATGATTAAGAATGCACTTGGATGATTACATGTTGATCCTTCTAATGATTTTGCAGGCAATAAGACCTAAAATTATTGATACATCTCCTGAAATGTGCATAATAACTTTTTGTAACCAAGTTCTATACTTGACATTACTTTAGAGATGGTTGCATGGATTGGTTTTGTTCCGTGCAATTGTAACTAGCAAGTTATTTATACATGCATATTAAACAATGCATGATGGCAGCAGCTAGCCTTTCGAGTGATTATAAAAGTTGTAGTCAAGGTTGCATTTCGAAAAAGCAAAACCATAAATTATATCTCTATTGGTCTTATTAGCTCTTACTGTTGGATTATTTTTGGTATGATTTTGAGTATCCATCATACATGTTTAAATGATGAATGCTAAGGAATGGAAGGGATATCTTGTGGAGGAAAGATTGTGACATTCTTTCATTGAAATTGTGATTAATTTGCATGCAAGGAAATTTTATGGTAATATGCTTATGTATAAACTGATTGACGTAGTAAATTTGCTACCAAAGCATGCATGTTTCAAGATATGATGTTGTAGACTAATGGGTTCTTTAATTCTATATTGTTTTGTCTTATATCTTGCATATTAATTTGTAATGTACGCGCTTATGCCGTAAGGTTCCTTCTGGTTTGTTTAAAGGATGCGCACAATAAAGAATACTTGTGGCTAACCAATTAGAATAATTGGCTAATTCTATTGTTATACGAAAGTCCTTTAGACATTAAGTTGTTGATATGCTAAATTAGTGGGAGTGTTGTTCACACTACGTTATTTCTGTTTAAGACTATTAACTAGTTTAATTGTGTATGGAAGAATTGATGCTTCACTGGAAGTATATTGGCAAACTCATTGGAGTTTGATAAAGGACCAAAGTAGCAATGTTTAAAGAGCACGTTGCAAAGATGGGAATATCGGAATCATTTGATTTAGTATATATGTGGGAGCGAACTTCCAATCTTGTTTGTTTACTTTATGGCTGTTTGCAGCCAATGAATGGAACTTGGTGATTAATTTCATGTATTGTATTGACATGAATTATTGATAAGTTTTGGCTATGGGAATGTTTAGGCATTGTATCATTCCCTTGTGGCATTGGTTGCTTGTTTAAAATTTCAAGTGGTTTTAACTCTTTTTCAGTGTGCAAGATAGCTGAGGGTGGCTTGTTAAAACTGCAGCAACCTTAAGGTAGTGGTTGATGAAGCGGATGAATGATAGCTTGATCAAGACAGACAGGGCTGTTTTTGTAGGGGGTATAATGGCAAAACTCTCGGTTTCACTGACATGTTTTATAGCATCATGTATGGTTAGTGAAGAAGATTGTGATTCCAGAGTGCCTGCACTAACTGTTGTGCAAAGTTTTCTGGAGTTCGACCTTCTAAATTAGCCATGACAGATGTGTGAGGAATGGTTAATTAACTCAAGTGATCACTAAGGAACTGATTCTCGTTGTAATGTTGATGAATAAACATGATTAGTAAAGTCCAAAGTGGGAGAATGTTGGAATCTTATTTGGACTCTACAAATCATGATATGGAATTGTCACATTATAATTATAATGTGACAATTCCTTATCATGATTTGTAGAGTCCAAATAAGATTCCAACAGATAGACAACAAATGCAGACATACTACAAAACGTTGACATGACAAATTGAATGTTTTGTCTCAGAAATATACTAACCGTTGTTCGTAGGGAGTTTTTTACTTGTGTTATTTTCATATGGATTTTTCGAACTAATTATCGTTCTGAGTGTGTAGGTTTCTAGATTCTTTAATTTTGAGTGGTTCAGTATTTAGTTTACAAAAGAGTATATATAAGACGACGTCCTTCTATTCCTGTGTAACATGAACTTGAACCAAAGTCTATATAAGACGATGTCCTATTATAATTTATACCTCAACATATGCTAAGAACTCTCAACCAAGTCCACAGAGGCACAGAAAGCAATCATACAGCACCAATGCTTTGGCTGAATCACCCGAAAAAAATAAAAATGGAGACTCTATTGGTCCTAAAGGCCGAAAGAAGTAGCTTCATCTCCATTTATCCACATGATTTGCATAAATTGATGGAATTCGTGAAGGAAAACTATCAAAGTCCTAAAATCTACATCACTGGAAACAGAATTACTGAGGCAAAGAATGATACAAGCGGACTTGAGGAGGGCACTCAAGGATCCACAGAGTCGAAAATACTCTTCGACACTTGATCCTGTTGGAGGATGAATTCTACATGGAGAAAGAAGGGACCTTGCATGTGCTTATAAGTAATTGGGCTATTGATGGAACCTCAACTTCTTCATGGTATTAGAGCAGGTTGTACTATGTTTGAAGCCCAACGGTTACACGTGTTCCAGCCACATGTGTTCCACATCATCCAATTTATGATGTCCACATGTTAGGGTTGAAAGTTCGCCACACGTAGGGGATGTGGTGAGAGAGAATCCCGGATTGCGGAAAGAAGGGACCTTGCATGTGCTTATAAGTTGTTCTATACTACTTCAAAACCACAATTTACTCAGAACTATCATAGATTTCAAATAATGTAATGGAAAAACTATCAAAGATTCCAATAAACATCTCATCCACATATAAAATAGCATGCTCAGTTCAGAAAAAAAGTTGTTCCATACTGCTTGCTGATTTCATAGAGAGTTTCGTCAACAGCACAGGGGAGTTCAGTACTTACTTCTGGTATAACCAAGAGAGAAATGCTCGCGTAAAGTAGGTCGATTGGTATTCCGTCAAACTTAAATTTCATTACAGGAACATGAGCATTTGGAAGTGATTGTAGTTCGGTCACCTCTTCCATCTCATCCAGAATGTTTTGCAGTATATAGAAGAAGTCTTCCTAAGGATAATATAACAGTATTATATATATAGATACACAGTGAACAATTGCAAGACTAAAAACTCTAAGAGAAACTGCTTGCAGTCAATATTTACCTCTCGATTGACATAGGATGGCCCGACGCATAATGTGTATAAGTCATCCCAGGGACCATGCACGTACAGAAAAACAACAGTAACCTATACATTCTAAATAGTAGAGCAAACAAAAAATTGAAGCTGTATATATTGAGTATTCAATTAGTCCTTCTAGCACATAGTTTGTTTAAAACCATCCGTAATCACCTGCCCAATTCGCTGAAAAACCTCCTCTTTCTTGGTAGCTTCCTCTTTAGTCTCATAAATCCCAGCTTCAGTCAAAAACTTCAAAAATACACATAATCCCAGAAACAAAATTGTCATTGTTGATGCACAAAACCGGAGGTCTTGGAACAATGTAAATCCGACCGTGAATCTGCATGTAATGTAAATAACACAAGATGTATCGTGGTTCACCCCAAGGTTTGAGCTACATCCACACTGATTGTATTTATCTAAGAGTATTTGTGAGGGAGAGAGTGTGAGAGTTTTGCTCTAGATAGGAGAAACCTAGGGCTTGTGAGGGTGAGGAGGCCCTTTTATAGAATAAGGGCTCATCCCCTAATTACATATTTACCATTTCTTTTATTACATAATTACATTTAAGTTCCCCGAGTATTTATACGAGGTCTAAATATGAGGCCCTAAATATGGTATAAACAGTAGTCTCCAAAGTCTTTAGTCAAGGGAGTCTTTTGGCTGGAGACTTGAAATTCAGTCTATGTGTGGGCCGAAGTAACTAGATGATGTCTTGAACTGATACTCGATATGAGGCAGTGCTCAATCTGAAATGACGCTCAACTAGAAGTAGCACACACTGCGAGGCTGCTCGGCTCGTGGCTTATGTTGCCTTGGTTGGCTCGGCTTGCGGTGTTTGAAGGTGAGGGAGTCCCTTTTATAGAATAAGGGCTCGCTCCTCAATACATGAATGATGGGCTAGAGTTGATGCTCTCTAATGATGGTGAGGGAGTCCCTTTTATAGAATAAGGGCTCGTTCCTCAATACATAAATGATGGGCTAGAGTTGATGCTCGCGGCGAGGCGGTTGCCCAGTAGGCGGCAATGCTCTCTAATGGTGGTGAGGGAGTCCCTTTTATAGAATAAGGGCTCGCTCCTCAATACATAAGTGATGGGTTAGGAGTGATGCTCGCGGCGAGGCGGTTGCTCAGTAGGCGGCAATGCTCTCTAATGGTGGTGAGGGAGTCATTTTTATATAATAAGGGCTCGCTCCTCAATACATAAGTGATGGGTTAGGAGTGATGCTCGTGGCGAGGCGGTTGCTCAGCTGGCGGCGTTGCTCTCTAATGATGGTGAGGGAGTCCCTTTTATAAAATAAGGGCTCGCTCCTCAGTACATGAACAATGGGTGCTCTCTAATGAAAGTGAGGGAGTCCCTTTTATAGAATAAGGGCTCGCTCCTCAATACATAAGTAATGGGCTAAGTCCCCCAAGTATTTTTCATGAGGCCCAGTTGAGGCCCAATATGTGGGTACATAATGTAGTCCCCCAAGTCTTCGGTCAATAGAGTCTGTTGGCTGGAGACTTCAAATTGAATCCATGTATGGGCCGAAGTGGCAGTTGTTCGAAGGTGGTATTTGTATACCCTGCACTGAAGCTTTTGCAAGTGAAGCTTTGAAGCTAGAGCTTTGTAAATGAAGTTTTTGAAGCTAGAGCTCTGTAAATAAAGTTTTTGAAGCTGTTTGACATGAGTGATACTCATGAATGTTTATGTTGATTGACATGAGTGATGCTCATGAATGTTGTCATGAGTGATGCTGTTTGGAACCAAAATAATAGTTTGGGCTGAGTATAGAATCATTCTCGGCCCGGAAGGTCTTGCGACAAGAATACCATGGATCGTTCAGTACGTGGGCCTCCAAACCTAGGTCGGCTAGGTCATAACGCAAGAAGTCGAGTCCTAGTGCAATGAGGAGTCTCGGCAGGACCCGGAAGCGAATCTGGCTCGGTTAAGGACTAGGTTCACAGTCCTAGCGAAAGTAGGACTGGTCGAGTTGGTGCTGATCAGGAGAAGAAGACCTAGTCCGAGTAGGTTTTTAACTCGACCTTGGGGGGAGCCATTGCTATAAATAGAAGAGGCTGCGCATCATTCAAGCCCCTGCAAATCAATACAAAACTGCCCTGCGCAAACTCAACAACTTGAGATTTTTTCTTTCTTTTTCGCTGACACATCTTCCGTTGGCATCAACAGCATTGTGAAAACAACCGGTGATATCTTAAGTCGGCATAGATAGCTCTGTCACCGTAGAATCAGCCGGTCTCGCAGTATCTTTCGTTGGCATCAACAGCACTGCGGCGAGGATGGTTGATTACCTATCCAAGTCTCGGTCGAGAAGGATTTTTGAATCCTTATTGGTCGAGGTCATCTCATCAGCCTTTTCGGCAAAGTGAGGTGTTACAGTTATTACATTCGGCACGTTGAGAGCCGAATTTGATATTGAACTTCATAAGAATAGTAACCTTGTCTTCAGGTTCGAGAGCCCAAGAGGCCGAGACGTGTTCCTTTCTCGGCCGCAATCGCAAGACGCAGAAGTCAGCCGCGCACCCAACGCAACATCAACAAAATTTACTCCTCGGCCGAGCTTGGCCGATGAGTTGGCACGCCCCGCATTCACCGAAGGACGTAGTTAGCTTATAGATTACTCGGCCTGCGCGCCACGTAGGCTTGGTAGTTTCTAGGGTCAACATTTTGGCACGCCCGATGGGATCCAGTGCTAGACTACGAAGTTCATGCCAATTGAAACACGATCGGTAAAAAAGAAAACAGCTATGGGAAAGTCGACAGCCGATCTACCAAATCAGAACGCAAGACACCATGTGCCACAAGCGCAGAATCCCATCAGCGTCGTGACACCCAAGTCCACGAGCGCAACTCGCCGAGAGAGGGAAGTTAATCTCGGCGGTCAGGTTCGCAGTCTTGAAATTCCAGACAGGAACACTTGCGTTCTTAATGAAGGAGTAATAGAAGATTGTGATGAAGATGGTGGCGAAGGATCCGATCCACCCACAAGGTCGTTTCTTCGAAAACGGCTTGACGTGTAATCTCGGACAGTTGAACAGACATTGAGTCGAGGAATCGATAAGCTTCATGACGTGATACGCAATTCCAGTGAAGCACAAACTAGATTACTCGAAATACTGGTTAGTAAGGTCAGCGATGGTAGAATTTTCGATCTTGCCCAGCATTTGCCGCCGAGGAATAATCTGTTATCAAGTGCACCGGCCGAGCCAATTCCTGCTCGGCTCAGGCCGCTTCAATTGGAAAGAGGAGGAGGGTCGAATAGTAGGTCAGACGGATCCGACCAGAGAGCGGAAGTAACGCCTGTCGATATGACCGAAGTTCAACGGATGATCGATTCGGCCATGAAGAAAGGGCCGAAGTTCCCTAAGTTTATACACCCGTACCCAGCTTACGTGGAACAGGTCGAATACCCTAGAGGTTTCAAGATCCTGGATTTTAGCCTTTTTACCGGAGAATCATCCTTATCCTCGTTGGAACATGTAGCTCGTTTCACCGCACAGTGCAGAGACGTTAATAGTGACTTTCACAAGTTGCGACTTTTCAATTTTTCGTTGACCGGCTCAGCGTTCGCCTAGTATATTAACCTCCCACCAAACTCCGTCCAGAGTTGGGATGAGTTGGTCGAGAAATTTCATGAGCAGTTTTATCGGCCGGGAATGGAAATGTCAGTATCCTCACTAGCAAGGATGGCTCAGGCGTCCGACGAGTCACCAATGGATTATCTTACTAGATTCAAATCAGCTAGGAATTGGTACCGAGTGCATCTCCCCGAAGTTGAATTCATCAGACTTGCTCTGAACGGTCTTGACGTCGAATACAAAAAGAAATTCTTGGGGGCAAACTTTCGGGATATGTACGAATTAGCCCAGCATATCGAGCAGTATGATTATTTGCTCTGCGAGGAAAGGATTTCGAAAGCTCCATCTTGGGGGACGATTTACAAGAATCCTACTGTCAGTTATGCATCAACCGAGGATGAATGCGTTAGTGTGGATGCAGCTGAGATAGTGATAGATAAGCCATACGTCTGCAAGGCACTGACTCAAGTTGATTCTAAGGAAGTCAAAACCCGCTTGGCTACTGAAGGAGCACTGAAACCGTCGAAAGTTTATACTTTTGATATTACAAAAGCCGATGCAATTTTTGATCAACTATTATCAGCAAGGATCATCAAACTTCGACCTGGGCACAACATTCCCAAGGCCGAAGAGCTTAAAGGGAAGATATATTGCAAATACCACAATTCAAGCAAACACACGACAAACAATTGTGTCGTGTTTCGAGACAACGTCCAAAGCTGGATTGATAATGGCAAACTGAAATTTCCAGAGAAGAAGATGAGTGTTGATACTGACCCGTTCCCCACGGCAACAGTAAATATGGTCGATGCGTGCTTACCTAAAGACAAAGGGAAAGGGAAGGCCGAAGATGTTGCGACGCAACGCTTTCGAAATCAGAATCTCGGCCACATTTCATGGCCGATTTTCGTTCAAACAAACCGCCTACAGCTTTAATGGGACCCGCTATTGTCAAACCTATGATAGATTATACCACCGATGAAGACAATGGGACAGCGGTTTTGTGCAGTAAATGTAGAGCAAAGGTCGGCAGTGAGCCAGAGGAGAAGCCCTCTTCGCTTATAACGGAACGACCTACGGCCGTATCCCAGCAGAAGGTTGCCGACGTAGGCCAACATCAAAGGGTTTTTGATAGGCTCGGTCCCAAAGTGAGGATGGAAGAGGCACCCTCAGTCAGGTGGCGTCTTGATTTTAATGCTTCATTTTACGACGAGGACTATTATAAACATAATTCTAGCAGTTCGGAGTCATCGCGGAGCCAAAAGACTTTCAAACCTCCCAAACCTAGCGATCAACGTTGGTATACATATCATTCTTCGAAAGGCGTTTACACTGCACTGTCCAAATCCCAGAAACGCCGGCACCAAAGGATAGATTGCATGGCCCGCCGACAAGCGGCCCAAGAAACTTCGGCTCCTCAATGGCGGCCGAATGACACAATTGTTACTGATGATGAACGACCACCTCCAGCTATTATGACAGAGTTGGTTCAAGGGAAACGGCTGGTCAACCGAGATATTGAAACCACGTTCGAAGAGGCTGATAAACGGATCAAACTTCTTCTTCGGCCGGGGGAGATGAAGGCACGCCTCGAGCATTTCAGGCAAGAGGCCGAAAGCAAATTAGCCCCGCCAGCCATACAAGAACCTTTGATTAAAATTCGACGGAA